AAGGTTTCATTATCTCATAACCCTGGCCAGAGATGAACTACATCTTTGTCCAGGGTCCTTCCTTGTAATTCATTCCCTTATGCGCTCTGGGTAGGCATTGCCACGCAGCACTAGTGTGTTGGCGCCAAGCTAATCGATTCAGGTTAAAGGGCTTGTGTTCCTGGACGTACAAATTCCTGTTTAAATCCAACTTTGCTACTACTAGTTATGTGACATGGCTAGTTACTATTTCTCTTTTTTCTTTCTCTGTTTGCGAATACTAATACAACTACAGAGGATTGTTTTAACCCTTTGCACTAGGATGTCGAGTTGGAATGTCGAGTGATAATAGGAAAAAAGGCAGGAGTGCCAAAGGCTTTGGTTAGCCGCAGAAATGTACAGCCATGTGGGGAGAGACGATTGCCCCTCAAAAGACTCAGAGTCCAGAGACTTGACGCAAGAGAGCAAGAGGATTTATCCAGCACAGCGCGGTGCGAGCAGCACCACGAGCTAGGAAGCGCCGCATCCGACGCTTCTTTTTCCTGTAGATTTTATAGCAGAAACCGACTGAGGTGCTAGGATCACAGGGTGGGGGGAGAATTCCCATGCTGTGACCTTGCACAAACATGTACGCAGAGGCCTGGAATACGGGAACTTCATAATCTTGGTCAATAAATTCCAAAGGTACTAACGGCAAGCGGTTTTCCGGGGAAGTTACAGAGTGGCGCCAGGGGGAAGAGTAGGGTTGACGCGAGCGAGCCGAAGCAAGACGCCGGTTAAGATTTTCTCCACAGGTTAAGAATTAAATAAGAATGTTCAAATGAGAAGTTATCAAGAGCAGTATACACAGGGACCTCCGTACACATGTCCTGTGTTGTTCAATAAATATCTATCAGCATGTTCTTCAGGAAGCGACCTTTTAAAAGGCTGCATATTTACAATAGACAAGATATGAATAACCTATGTGTCCAGATAGATGAGATGGAATAAAGAAAACGTGTATATATACACCTGAAACTATCAGCCATACAAAGAATGAAATCCTGCCCATTGTGAAAAGAAACCTGGAAAATCACATTAAAGAAATAAGCCAGACACAGAGAGAAAAAAAAAAGTTGATATCATAGAAGCAGAGGAGTAGCGTAGAACAGGCAGTTACCAGGAGACTTGGGCAAGGATAAGGGAGGGGTGGGTGGGAAGAGTGCCAAGATGTACAAAGTCAATTAGATAGGAGAAAAAATCCTGTGTCTTTTGCTTACAGTTAGGTGACTGTGCTCCTAGTAAACTTTGCATAATAAAACGCCTAAGAGAGGCTTTAAATGTCTCACCCAAAGAAAATTGATAATTCACAGGTGATCGATACACCAACTACCCTGGTGTATCATCTGTACACATGATTTATGCAACACCACCTTCACGCCAAAATATGTACAATTATATGTGTCAACTTAAAGAATAAATAAGTTTTCAAAAATAAAATAAAAGCTACAGGTAATATACTGTTGAGTGCGAGTATAGCTCTATTTTCCTAACCATTCTGGTATTCATTGCTAAATTTTTCAATGTTATAAAACTTTTCAATTGAACATTTTAATGATTTGTGTGGCTTTTTTTTTTACCTGTGCTTACATGATTTATATTACAGCCTGTCCTTGGGAAGTTATTGAAAGCCATGAGTGGCTTGGCTCTTATTCGAGAAGCAGGCTAACTGCCCTTCACTGGCTGAATGGAAGGGAATGTTTTCTAATGTGCTCATTTCATATCCTGCTCAAGGCAGCAGAAGTACCTATATAAGACAGTATATTCCTTAAACTGGAGTATGTTTGATTGTTTGAGGCAGGGACATCTATTGTCAGAAACACAACATAGGAGAGGAATTCATACCTATCTACATTTCAAAATAGCATGCTGGTTTTGAGCACAGAGCATTTCCTGAGCTTAATGATCGATCTTCTAAGGTTAGTCTGCCTTGAGCAGTCTCGTATTAACATTTCCAAGCCAGCGTCATAATCTCTTAGAAAGCTTAGATTGATTCTGCTAGCTTAATTGAGTTATGAATAATTTAGTAAAGATATGATTACAGATTTTAACAAAGAAAAGACTGTTTTTCTAATATGCCCAGCAGCACTCTAGTGTGCACGTTGAATTATGAAAAGCTAAAGTAATTTAGATTGCCAAAATGCAGGTTTCTAGTTTTGTATTAGCAAGAGGAAAATATCCTTCCTTTAAAAGAGCAAAGTAAACTAAGTATATTTTCACATGGAAATGATGACTTTCCTTAGGAAATATTATTCTCATTACAGAATAACATAAAATATGACATTTGAAACACTTGAAAATTCTTGTTTTAATAAGAAAATCTTTTCTGTTTTTGCAGGTCCAGAAAGGGTTCTCTTTGAAGATCATTTCCTTTCAGCAAGACTGCTTTAACTAGCATAATATATGCTTCATATGCAGCATTAATTATTGTAATTGTAAGAAAATTATTAGAATCTAGAAGATAGAAAACTACTACATTATATAATGTAGCGATAACACTGTACAACAGTTGTAGCTGTATAGCGATTATCTTTAATGTGAACCCATTCCAAAACTAATGGTTGCCATCTCTTGCTACACAAAATTAATTGTATATTGAAATTTCCTTTTTCTTAGAGCCAAGTTAATTCACCAAAAACCAATTTGCTTAAATATACTAAAAAACTATTTAATAAAGTTGTTACTGATTGAGACTTTTGTCAAAAAAATTTAGTGTGCTATTATTTAGCTATATAGTGTTTTGTTTTCAGCCTTTGGGCTGACGACTGATAACATAAAGTTCAGTATTCATCATTTTTGGGTCTCTACTTCAGAGACACACGTAATTAAGTTTTGGATACTAGTACTATGCCTGATAAAAATATAAAATATTTTATAATTATAAGCTTTATGTTCTGTTCATAAATTATACTTAAAACTATAAGATACAGAGAAGAAAGTGCACAGCTTGATGAGATTATTCACAAAGATTATAATCTATGCATACCAGTCAGAAACAAATATCACCATAGTTCCAGAAGCCTCTTTGGGCCTCCTCCAAGTTGCTACCCTCTTCTCATTAAAGGAGCCCACTATTTTGACTTGGTTTAGTATAGACAGTTTGACCCAACGTATATAACTTAATATTAATATATGTTCTTTTGTGTTTATTCTTCCTTTTGCTTAATATCATCATCCTGTGAGATCAGTTCATTGCCTGTAGAAGTATCTGATTCATTTCATAACTGTGTATGTATTGACTAACATCGGGTTGACTACATCAATATTATTTATCAGTTTCGTTTTTAACATTTGGATTATTTCTAGTTCGGGCTATTATGAATAAGCTGCTATAAATATCCGCTACATATTTTGGTAAAATTACTGGCCTCTAAGTATGAGTGTTCATGTCTAGTAGATATTTGCAAAGTTTTCTAAAATGGTTTTTAGAAATTTACCACATCCTGGCTGATTTTATAAAAGTCTCGTTGTTTACAACATTGCTGGCACTTGGTCTGTCATTTTTCATTTTCATCCATTCTTGTGGTATGTAGGTTATACACATTGGCTTTATTGTACTCTTTGATTAGTATTAGATTGAATACCTTTTGCATACATTAATTGGACAATTTGGAATATCGCGTCTTTGTGAAATTTTTGTAAAGTCTCTTCCAGCTTTTCTATTGAGAGAGTCTTTTTTAATATTGGTTATACTTTTAAGAATATTTCTAAGACAAATCCTCTTTTAATTATATATGGAAATATTCTCTCTTTTATTCTGTGACTTGCCTTTTACTTCTTTAGCAGTGTCTTCTACAAAGAAGTTCCTAGCCAGCATGGGGCCAAATAATTGATCTCATGGAGACAGAGAGTAGAATGAGGCTGGGAAGGGTACTGGGGAGAGAATAAGTGGGAATGGTTAATGGCACAAAAATGTATTATATAATTAGATAGAATGAACAATATGTTGATATCACACCAAAGTGACTATAATCAAACATAAGTTAGGGTATACTTTAAGATAACTAAAAGAGTGAAATCATGGCCGGGTGCGGTGGCTCGACGCCTGTAATCCTAGCCTCTGGAGCCGAGGCGGGCTGATGCTTGAGGTCAAGGTTCAAAACCAGCCTGAGCAAGAGTGAGACCCCGTCTCTACTATAAATAGAAAGAAATTAATTGGCCAACAATATATATAGAAAAATTAGCTGGCATGTGGCGCATGCCGTGAGTCCCAGCTACTCGCAGAAGCATCACTTGAGCCCAGGAGTTTGAGGTTGCTGTGAGCTAGCTGACGCCATGGCACTCACTCTAGCCTGGGCAAACATGCTCAGGCTGGTTTTGAACTCCTGACCTCGAGCAATCCGCCCGCCTCGGCCTCCCAGAGAGCTAGGATTACAGGCGTGAGCCACCACGCCCGGCCTGGAGACATTTTTAAAGTAGAAAATGTCTGCTATATATTTGGACAAATTGTACAGCTAAGAGTTGATCATTTCAATATATTTAAATTTTACCTAAAAAAATATAATAATAACAATCAAATAGGAGAAGTAGGAAATCCACAGAATTATAAATGAAACAAGAATGCCGACAATTGTTGAAGTTGAATGATGGGAGGTTCATTATACTATTTTGTTTACTTTGTATATATTAAAATTTTTTCAGAATAAAATATGTTATATCAAATAGGGATTTTTTTACTATAAAAGTATTTCCTACTAAATCTTACTTTTTATCTATTATTCATTTTGTTTACTTCAAGTTATTTTCATCCTTTGTAAACTGAACATCCAGAACCTATAACTTTCAGATTCCAGTCAATCCAGAGGATTGGATAAAATGTATTCTATTGATCCTGATGGTAATCCTTATATCATGCTAAGTATGTATGCTCTTAAATCTCTCATATTTATATGATTTTAAAAGTAACAGTTGTGTCTATGTTGGCAAAAATTCATCTTCGGTCTTGAAACAAACCTATTCTAAAAAATATTTCCAAACATACACATTTTTCACTGCTATATATTTTTTATCAGAAAGGACTCTTAATTACTTTGAAATCTCCAGTGGCATAAAAATCAGAATCACACTTATAAGGTTCATTAGAAAGAGTCACATAAACATTCCCATCATCCACTGTCACTGTATGAATCCTTTGCTTTATTCCTTTGGAGGACCACTTGGGTTTTGCTGATGGATCTTTAGGATTTATAGACTGGTATAGTCCTTCTCCTGTTGCCAAAGTAATTTTGTATTTATGCCAGGGGCAAACAATACATGGTCGTCCATCAAAATCCTGGGAAAGAAAATACCTGATTTAATATTCTGTATTTCAAATGTTCATGATAAACCACAGACTCAGAACAGAATCTACTGCAGAAGAACCGAATTAAAAGAACAAGCCAGCTTCTCTCTCTCTTTTTTTTTACTCCTATTTACAAATTAGTGGGCATAAAGCAGAACCTAATCTGAGAACAGTCATCAAGTTCCTTAAAGTTGATTAGAACGCCAGTTAGAGCTCTATCAGAAGACTGACTTGCTCAAGCAACTGTACCATGTGACCACAGCTGTGCTGTTATCTTTTAGATGTTAATGTCACTTCCTTGACAGAAATGGGGCAAGGGCTTCAAGAGATTCTGTAGGAATTTTCACTGGCTGCTGGAGGAACTGTAAGCTCCAGATATAAATTCAAGAGGGGTTACTAAAGGCATGAGAACACATGTTAATAGAACAGCAAAGTAGCTAATTCTCAACTTTTTAATTGTCTTAATGAAGTGCTTCACAAATTTTAAAGAACATGGGAATCACCTAGATCTTGTTTAAATGCAGCTCTGTTTAAATTCAGTAGGCGTAATGGGGGCATGTGGCTGAGATTCTGCATGTCTAAGAAGCTCCCAGGTAACACCAAGATTGCTGGTCTATGGACAGCACTTCAAGTACCAAACCCTTGGACTGAAACTAAAGGAAATTCTATGAAACTAACATCAGCAGGTGCTTAAATTTTCTCTCTACACCAAAAGTGTGCAGTAATATTGATTTGTACCTCCATAAAACTGTCAGCAAACATTCACATTTTCACAATTTCAACACACATATGTCCTTTAACATGAGGACAGGTGTGGAACCAAGCAGGGATCAAGTGTAGAGAATGGAATGCTAAGTTTAAGGTTGTGCTTTGCTCCAGTAAGAGAGAGAGAGAGATCAGTTTCATGAAGTAGAAAATAAAAAATTCGGTGACAAGTTGGAATTCAAGGAAGCAAAGGCAATTCTCCCCATTTCTTCTCAGTTAAGACTTCAAAGTGTGGTTTCTTTCTTTAAAAATATATTTATGCTGTATATTATATTATAAAAGCAATATATACTCATTGTAAAAAATTCAAATTATGCAGAGTATATAAGGTAAAAAGTGAGTATTATTTTTGATAAGAAAATGAGATTTCATTAGAACTACTATTCTACAACTTACTTTTTCAGGCATAATATATTGTTGACATCCCTCCATAACAGCACACATAGATCTACCTCACTAATTTAATGGTTGCATAGTACAGCAATTCTACAGCCTGGCTATATCATAATTTATTTAACCAGTTTCCTATTGTTAAAACATTTAGGCTGCCTTCAATTATTCATAATACATAATGCTACAATGAACCTTTCCTATACATATACTTAAACATTTGTGCAATTATATCCACAGGATAGATATCTCAGAGTATAACTGCTAGGTCAAAAGACATGCATATTTCTCATAAATATCTGTGAAATGGTTTTCTTTACATTATAGGGTGGGTTGTGAATACCTGGAATACTGAAGGTTATATTCAAAGCATTAAAATAGAAATCAACCAAATATAAATTATTTTTAATAAAGAATGAAATAAAATAAGAATATAAATAGAAAACATCTGAGTTTGTTGAGAATCAATTTAATTTTACATACCTCTATTTCTCCCAAGTGTAAAGGTCCTCCTGAGTCTGAAAAGAAATTGAATATTATATCTAGTCACTAAAAAATTGAATTTTGATAGTTTTGTGGTTAGTAAATAAAATTGAACAAATGAAAAATAAACTCTTACGGTAACAGCGAATATCCATAGCATGATATTCTCCTTTGTGGTAGAAAATGACCACTTCTCTATCATGGACAACAGCTGTCATTCTTCCAGATTTTTTAATGTTATCTTCTTTGCCAACACAGACAGGAGAACATTCCTTCTTTTCAGGTTCTTCTACAGAGTCATCAAGATTCATGCTAGTTGAACAAAAAGAAGAAAAAAGAAAGAAAATGGCAGTCTACACTAATTTGGCTACAACTTAAATCACAGAGATAATCATAAGAATGAATAGTCTGAATTTCTTGAGAATAATGGAGGCGTTTTTCCACTGCTATATAAAATAAAACATTTATAAATACTGAATTATAGTTAGTCATTACTTTGAGTTAGAGATTCCCCAAGCATACCAAAATTAGGGAGGACTCTCCACTCTAGGGCTAGAGTTGTATTAGATTCATTTCAATGCTTAAGAAGGAAATTTCAGAACTCCTAAGACACAGAGACTTAAGTTTCACTATTCCTTTATTCCCCATCAAATTCAATAATAAACAACATTCAGTTATTATGTGCATTATTTTCCGTCTTCTGCTGAAGCTAGGATTCTCTGATAGTGTGAATCGTCTGGGGCCCCTTGGCTAAGGTTTTGCCTAGATTACACAGCCAGCGCTTCACAGGCACAACCAGACAACCATTATAGCAAGAGGGGGTGGGTATGAATGGAGACCTTTCATTTTCTTACCTCAAATAGAAATTGGCATTACTTTCTTCTGCCTTACTTTGGTCAAAGAGATGACTTTCTCCTGAATTGATTTATAGAGGAAAATTTTCAGGTATTACAAAATATATTTTTTCTTGGCACAGATATTCAGTCTATTTCTTTGAAAGCGACCCTGAGACTTTCCATATACTTTTTTGTTTTTTGGAGACCGAGTCTCACTGTGTTGCCTGGGCTAGAGTGCTGCTGTGTCAGCCTAGCTCACAGCAACCTCAAACTCCTGGGCTCAAGCGATCCTTCTGCCTCAGCCTCCTGAGTAGCTGGGACTACAGGCATGTGCTACCATGCCCGGCTAATTTTTTATATATTTTTAGTTGTCCAGTTAACTTCTATTTTTTTAGTAGAGACGGGGTCTCGCTCTTGCTCAGGCTGGTCTCGAAATCCTGATCTCAAACAATCCTCCTGCCTTGACCTCCCAGAGTGCTAGGATTATAGGCATGAGCAACTACACCTCCCCCCCTTTCCATATACTTCAAGAACATGGTCACAGTCTGTTGATTCCATGTGAGAAGAAAACATCATGATATATTAGTATCAGGGCCCCATACAGAGGATTTTCCTAAGGGTTTCCCATATGTGGGTATTTACATGTTTTGTATGATATATACTACTTCTCAAGAATTTTTATATTTATTCTTTCTCTATTCCTAATCCCCAATCTATCCCCTATTATTCCTAACTTCTTTCTATTAGAGATAAGAGTTACTATTCCAAAGTTTCTGGAGACATTCCTGATTTTCCTCCCTATCTCAGGATATAGAATGTGGTAGTTTTGATAACTTTCAAAAAGTGTGAAGAATTTTGTATTATCTTAGGGTTGGGAAGACAGATTTTCCTCTAGCCAAGAACTTACTTTGAATCTTTGCATGTAAAAAAAAAAATTGCAAGACAGAAATTGAGACCAAAGAGTTTTGATTTTTCCTTTATTTCCTAATTAGTATATTATCAGCTATCCCTTGCATGGTTTCTGCTCTCTGCCGTCAAATGGGAATCTTCAACCATCTGGGCAATATGCAGCCCCGCAACTGGCATAAAGCAAGCTCACTTCACAATGTGGGTGGACAGGAAAGGGGCTGCCTGTCACATCTAGGTGTGAGATCCTGTATATACCCAGACCAGTGGTCCCCAATCTTTTTCCATGGATGGTGTGGGGGAGTCTTGGAGTTCAGGTGGTGATGTGAGTGATGGGGAGGAGAGCAGCTGTAAATACAGATGAAGCTTTTCTCCCTCTCCCTCACCCTCCATGTGCCTCCTGCTGTGCACCCCACCCCCTCTCGTTCCTAAGTTTCATGGTGCAGGCAGGTGGCAGAGCCAGGTCCTTAACAGGCTGTGAACTAGACCATTATCTTGGAGCAGGGCTACTTCAATTCCTTTATTATATGACAGAAGTTAAAGGCTTATGACAGATGACAGAAACTAAGGGTTCACAGTAACAGATGTTACTAATGTGATTAGTAACATCTAATCACAACCTACTTTTATCTTTGGGACACTGCTGGACAAGTTGCTCAGTAATATATTTAGGGAGGAATATATGTTTGAAAAAAGCAAGTAAGCAAAATTATCAAAGAATGGCTATTGAACATAATCTTCAGCACAGCAGAATTATAAAATAAAAACTTTCAACAATAGATTTTCATATTTTCCTTCTGCAATGTTTTTCTTCCTCATTAGAGGTTATCATCCATTTGATAAATATTTCCTGAACACTCACTATGTGACTGGCACTTCAAGAAGTATCACTGATAAGGTTTCTTCCCACCCAAAAATTACATTCTAGTTGATGAGATTGATAATAAATAAATACATAAAATAACCACACACTATCATAAGAGCCATGAAGAAAATAAACAGGATTACATGAGATGAGAAAGTAACAGGGAGAGGCAATTTTGTTAAGAATGGGCTGAGAAGGTAACTGAGATGACAAGTGAGCCAAAATCTCCAAAATGCAAATGGACTAAATATGCTAAGAACTGGGGGAAGAGAATTCCATACTGAAGGAATAGCAAATACAACAGCCTGAAGGGAAAAAAAAAATCTTGGTTAAGTGAGGAACAAATTAGCCAGATTATGTTCCAGCAGAGTGGAATATAAACAGCAGGATTGGTGAACAGGCAGGAGCCAGGTTGTACAGTGCTGTGGGTGGATTTTATCCTAAGAGCAATGGGAAGCCACTAAAAAGTGTGAAGCAGTTGAGTGTGATGTAATCTATTTTTATTATAAAAGAATGACCTGTCTCTGTGAAGAATGGACTGTAGCAGAACAAGAATGGAAGCACAGAAATCAGAAAGCTACTGCAGAGGTCCATGGAAGAGACAGTGGCTTGCACCAGGGTGTTGACTCTATGGGGAAGAAAAAGGAGTAACAACAGCAGCAACAGTAGCTACAACTGTATTGTGCTAACTATGTGCCAGGCACTGTTTTAACCCTTTGCACTCGGATGTGACTCGACACAGTTAGCAAAAATTATAGAGATTAAAATTACTCTTTGAATGTATCAATAATTTGAAATATGAAAAAATCCAAATAAATAAGTTTGTATGAAAAGAAACTCCAGTTTTTTATTCTACTGCCATGCTTTATAAAATCTGGGGTATTTAAAAAATTAAATCCCGAGTAGAATAAAGTAATTGAGAAAAAAGCAAGCGAGTGCAAAGAGTTAAAGCCTTTATATTTATTTATTAACTCTTTAATCCCCCAACAAATTACTAAAGAGAAGGTATTATTGTAATATTACAGTGAGAAAACTGAGGCACAGAGAAGCTGGGTTGATGAAGTGGAAGGAGGGAGCTATAGAAAAATAAATAAAGATGAGTCCCAAGTTTAAGGTTTGTGCAGCTATGTAGACTGTAGTGCCAATGACTGTGATGAGAAAGACCAAGAAAGTAATGATATTTTTGCAGGGATGGAAAATCAAGAGCTAGCTACATTTTGTACATAATGAGTTTAAGGTGCCTCAGAGACATCGAAGTGGCTATTATCAAGTCAGCAGTCTCATATATGAGACTAGAGTTGAGAATTACTGGAGAGAAAAATTTGGGAGTTTTCTGTGGAATCACTTGAAGAGGAGGTATAGACGGGGAAGAAGGTCTAAGACAATCCCTGAAGTACTTCAGCATTTAGAGGTCAGGTGGAAGAGAGGCTGAAGAGAGGCAAGACCAGCAGAAGTCTCCAAACTATTGCTAATCAAATGAAATTCATTCACTGCTCCCTTATATTCTGCTCAAATTGCAAATAAATGGTAACCTAGACAAAAAGGCAGGCAGAGGTCAAATCTGCTCCACCTGGCCCCTCCATGTATTATACAGTAAATGATACATGAAGTAAACCTGGGGTTCCCAGGAAACCAATTGTCCTGAAACTTTGGTTGTTCCATTAAGAGCTGGGCCTATCTTGTACCTTTTTCTATTTGTAAGTTCATTAACTCCCTATACCTCTACCCTTCTAGAAATCAAATACTGGTTAGTATCAAGGGCTTACATTTAGAATATAACCATTACTACTCTCTTTTCCCTGTATTTCTAATGTTTGTCTTCTATTTCACTCTTTAATATCCTTTTGGCCAAATATAGAAATCAAAAGGTGGAAAACATCAAGACTAAGAAATATCTCAGTATTGTTTTTAGGAACATGCTCAAGGGTTATAGGTCTGATCTGGGCCTTAAACCAAAATAATGACTCATATGCATCACTGTATAACATTCAGCAGCTATTCTTCAAAATTAAGTTAAGCATACAGTAAGCCTTAAAAATGGCATATATGTGTATTTTATTTTTTTAGAGACAGGGTCTTGCTGTCACCCAAGCTGGAATGCAGTTGCTTAGTCATAGCTTACTGTGACCTCAAACTCCTGCGCTCAAGTGATCCTCCTGCCTCAGCCTCCCAAGTAGCTAGGACTACAGGCACACATCACCATACCCAGCTAATTTTTATTTTTTGTAGAGATGAGGTCTCACTATGTTGCCCAGGCTGGTGTTGAACACCTGGCCTCAAGTAATCCTCCCACCTTGGCCTCTCCAAATACATGTGTAGTTTAAACCCCAAATACTTCTTTTGTCATCGTATTACACCTCAATAGACATTTACATCAGACACAAGACTTTCAAAGCAAAATGTAACAATAATTCTAAAGGTTGTATCAAGGCTAGGTTTTACTCAATATTTGCATTTTCAGTTCCATTTTAACAATTTCATCATTTTATGGATTTATTTAATTAGAATGGGAAGCTATAGGAAGACCCAGAAAGCCTGAGAGGTATCCAACTCTATCTTATGTAAGACAAATAATTACATATGGAAAAGGAAAGGAAGTGAATCAAAGTGATGGCCCACATTAGCTGTAGAGACCTGGCTGCTGTTAAACACTAAGCAGCTTGCTATGGAATGCTCATGATATTAAACACACATACACTTGTTTACAATTTAAGATATTTGACAAAATTAAAAATCACATATCAACTTCAAATAAATATTCTAATTTTAGGAAGATGATCTTTCATCATCAGCACCCTCTTCAAATACAGTAATAGTGTCATATTTCATAGGAAGTTAAAGAGGATAACAATTTACATGAAACTTGCCATTTTAATTCTATTCAAGTCTTAGGTTAACATTCCACATACAAAAAAATATATCCAACTTCTTTAAAGAAGGCACTTAGACCTTGGTATACTGAGCTTAGAATGGTTACTATGGACCCAATCTCCTTCCCAAAATAGGGAAAATTTGTTCATAGAAGTGCCAAGTAGCTTCAGGCCTTCTGCAGAGAATTTTCCTGATGGCTTCTCTAAATATTTATTTAATCCTGTATGACTTATGGGAGTTTTAAAATGTTAAGAGGAAAAGAACATGGCTCATTTTAAAAGTTCATAAAACAAATTATTAGGATCATAATCTCTATGTGTGTCAGGAGTGAACTTTATAAAGGGAGAATTTATAGGCCACTATTTTGAGAGGGTTAGTTCTTAGCCATGTGGAAGACAGATATCATATATTACTGTAAGTCTGGGCTCCAAACTTGAAGTGTAGGTAGAGGGGTGTGTGTTTGTGTGCATGCATACACGCAAGTGTATTGATGGGGAGAGGCAGGAGCTTTGAATTCAGTGTTTAAAGGAAAGCATTACACAAATCAAGCTTAGAAAATTATAGGGATGTCAAACTTGTACTCTGAAGTTTGCATTGTTAATCCTTGCTTTAACCTGGTTACTTAAAAAAAAAAAAAAAGGATGGAAAAAATACATATGCTGTTTTTAAAAATCATCTCACAATAAAAAAGCAAAAATATATTATTTTTAAGGAAAGGCAAAGAGGACCATGGCCATGATTTCCTGGGTTAGCTATGGCTGACAGGAGGCTGGAATACTATCTCTAAACAGTCATCTGGTTTTACTTGATTTTGGTAGGTGTCCAAAGTATACAAATTGCTCAGGTGGTAGTATTTACCTTCAGAATTGGGCATGCAGCACTTATCATATTTTGTGACAGAACAAAGGTGCAATAATGACAATAAAAATGGAAACAGATAAATAAATTAACTGAAAGAAGGGTAAATGGTCTGAAGAAAAAGAAAAGAAAGAAATGTGAAATTTACAACACATATAACCAACAAAGGATTAAGATTCAGAATATATGAAGAACTTCTATAGACTAGTAAGAACAATCTGTGATCCAAATAATCACAGAAAAATGGGCAAAAGAAATGAACAAACATTTCAGAGATAAGGAAGTCTGAACTGCCAGTAATCACATGTAAAGATGTTCAACCTCATTAGTAGGAAGATGCAAAGGAAATGCAAAGCAAAGCCACAAATGGGATACTATTTTCCACCCACCAGACTGGCAAAAAATTATACCAAGTATTGGTGAGAATATGGAACAACTGCTAGTGATAGCATAAATTAGTGCTACCACAGTTTGACATTACCTACTAAACATATTCATGACTCACTAATCCCACTTTAGGTATGTGCTAGAGAAATGTGCACAGGTATACCAGGAAACATGCACAAGAATGGTTATAAAAGCAAAAGACAAAAATCAACTCGAAATTCATAAACAGTAGAATGGATAATTTGGACATTCATTCAATGGAATGCTGTAGAGCAGTGAAAAATCTATCACCACATCAAGTTGGATCAATTTCAAAAATGTAACTTCAAATGAAAAAATTTAAAAAGAATTCAAAATATGCTTCCCTTTTTATCAAGTGCAAAATCTGGCAAAACCAAACAATACATTATTCATAGATAGATACATGTACATAGGGCATATTTATAAAGAAAAGCACGGGGATAATAAACATAAAATTTCTTAAATGTCTCAAAATATTTAGTTAATTCTTATATTTAGAATTATTCTTTTCAATATTAAAGTTGTATCCTACTTTATGTAGCAAATGACCTAAGACCCAAGAAAATTGGGATAAAGTTGCACTTTCTATCCCCTTGAGCACAGAACATGAATGAACTATTTGTGAATTTTGTACAGCTTATTTCAAAGCTTGACACTAAATGAGCAAATGAATGATTCTTTTTCTAGGCAAAAACTAGAAAAGAAATACTACTATCAAGCAAATAACAAAATACAACAGATGTAAACTAACATCAAAAGTTAATTATGTTTTTCGAACTCCCAAATAAATAAGAACCAAACACTGTCCTTTCTCAAATTTCAGTCTCTTGGAACATATAGCCTTGTAGGCTTTGCCTCCAACCAAGAAAAACTGTAGTGAACTTTGAAGGAGCTGATAAGAAATGAGCAGAGAAGGCTGGGGCTAAATGATAAAGGTTTCAGAGAACTATGATTACAGCCTTGCATTTTGCTTAGGAAAATATTATCTCATGTTTCCTCTATGTATCATAAATGGTACTATTTATTTATGATATCTGATGACTATTTATAATTAACACCCATATTATTCTTCATATTATGAATATCATGGTCCATTCAGACAATAAAAGTCTATTTGTTCACCTTAATTACTGTTATTTTGATGAACTATTCATAAACTCCCACATATTTCCTCTATTTTGAGTCTACTTTAAGATATTAGAATCTTAACTGAATAAAAGAAAGTGAAATATTAAACAATTTGCCCAGTTTGGGAGCTAGATGAAAACTTCCCTGTGAAAAATTTAGTTGTTTCTCCTCTACAATTCTGTTCAAGAAAAATTTTGGCTTGTCTCTAAAATTAGGTTTCTATAGGTGGTCACTCAATATAAAGTTACAAATTAGCTAAATCGATCCTCAGTCACTATTAGATCCCTTTCCAACACAGGAAATAAATTAAAGCGAAATTTTAAAAAATATTGTAACTCAAGCTTTCATAAGACACTGGAGACGAAAGAGACATGAAATTAAAGATACTTACTTGTCACTCCTCTTGAGCAATGACTAAGGGGCTTTTACTAAGTCTGGGGACTTGGTCTACACATTATCAGAATGTTTATCTGAAAGGTAACACCCTTGCTTTTAGCTTTAGGGAAGAGAAATGCCTTAGATAGTAGTTTTGAATGGCAGAATAATAGATAAAACTAGCTATCCTTCAGTGAGGGCCTACGGTTTGAACACTTTGCATATATTAGCTCATTAAGCCTCACAAAACTAACAAGGCGTAGATATTAATTTCATTCAGGTAGCACCCAGATTTGCAAAAACATGTGACCCGCAAGTAAACCATCTTGAAGACACAAAAACCTTTTAACGAAAATTTATACTGATGATTGGTGAGATATATATTACTGACATTTATATTTGTGATATGTGTCACCAAAGATGACGGCCCCGAATTTTTCTTTAATTAATGAGGGCTAATGTGCAAGAGTTATATCCACAAATGTTTAATACTGAATACTTCCCTAATAATATAAGTCACGCAGCCGCTCTGCAAATCGCCCCCACTGTCTGTTAATAGAGATCTGTGATCACAGGTGAGCTAGACCGGGTTTGAATCCCGATTCTACGCGATTTAGGGCAAGTTGCTTAATTTATCTGTGCTGCAGTTTCGTCGTAAGAAAGCCTCGCCACGCTGGGGTGTGGTGAGGGATAAATGTTTTATTATTACATCTCAAATGTTTAGAGTACAGCCTAACCGCAGGAAACGCTCACATCAAGTTAGCTAGCTGTCACCTCTAAGGTCCTTTCAACTTAGCTGTGTTAGACATTTCGTGAAGGACGGTCTGCGACTGCAGACTGGACCCCAGGAGACGAACATCTAGGACAGCCGGGACCGCAGAAATCCTGGAGCATCTTTTACACTTTCCAGAGCACAAATTTCAAGGAAAACATGGTAGCAACGCCCTGCCTGCCCCCCCTGAGGCGGCAGGTCTGCGGCCCAGTCTCAAGGTGAACAAGCGCGGTGGGCCGCCCAGGCAGAAACCTGCCCCGAAGGGTTCACCGTTAACTGACACCGAACCGAAGCCCAGGAGTGCCGCGGCACTCACAGCGGCCAACAGCACAGGCCGCACGACCGCAGCCTGGTAACCGCCGGAAGCCCTAGCCCAGGCCCCCAACGGCCCGGCCGGAAGCAGCCGGCTCCGTGAGCTCCGCCCCCGCTCGCCCAACCCCGCGCGGCGAGAACAGAACTTACAGTCCCGTAGTTCTCGCTCCGCCTCCGCGAGACCCGCCCGCCGCGGCCTCTGGGTGATGCGACTGCGCAAACCAGAGCTCCAGTCACCGCGCGGGCCCTTAAGGGGCGGGGCGAAGCCGTCCACGTGACCCGAGAACGGCCGCCCACGGCACTACCAGCCCAGGACCTCTCGGGGGCTGATGGCATCCGACGTATCCAAACTGGCAGTCCTAATTGTGTATTTGACAAGTGTGGGTAGCGTCAATTCATTTTTTAGGTGTTTATTCATCTCGCTACATTTATACAAATTTTAAATGCATCCAGTGATCTCCTAAGAATTTACTGTATGAAAATACTTGCAGAAGGTCATCACGATGCATGTATAAGGAAGCTTATTGCGGTGAAAGAATGAGAATAGCTAAAATCATCAGCACAGGAGAATGGTTAAATAAAATACAGTGCAGATGTGTGAATTACTTGTAGCTGTATACTGTATATACTCAAAGCATAGATTCCATGGTGTAATAAATATTAAAAGACAAACTAACACAATGTTAGTGTGCTCTTTTATTTAAATAAAAATTATTTCTCCAGATACAAATATGCAGGTATGTACATAAACTTTTTCTTAAAAAATCAAAAGAAACTTGGTGGTTGCTTTGCAGGCAGATGGAAGATTTTCACTTTCATATTTTGAACTTTGCAATTTTGTTTTTTCTCTTTAATATTAACCTGAATTGGAAAAAAACCTTTATATTTGTGTTCAAAGCTGGAAAAAAGTAGATGAATTTGATGTTTTGTTTTAAGTTTCCTTGACTATCTTCCAATGCAGTGGTTCTTAACTCTGGCTATGGCTTAGGCAGAGGTCCTCCAACTTTTTAAAGGGGGGGGGGAGGGCCAGTTCACTGTCCCTTAGACCATTGGAGGGCCAGACGATAGTTTAAAAAAAACTATGAACAAATTCCTATCCACACTGCACACATCTTATTTTGAAGTAAAAAAACAAACAGGCAGAAACACCCACATGTGGCCCACTGGCCATAGTTTGAAGACGCCTGCCTTAGAGTCACCCGGGAGATTTTAAAAAGTCATGAGGCCCAGTCTCCTTGCCAGACCAACAAAATCTTGGGGGAGGGGTTCGATATTCTTTTATAATAACTTCCCAAGTGATTCTGATGTGAAGCCAAGGTTGAGCATCACAACCTGTATAGTATGCCAATATAGTACTCTCAGACCCTAGCATGGCCCAATGGACCTGGGGCAGCTGACACCCAGGAGCCTATCCATTTACCCCAGAATGCCATACAAGTGTCATTTTTTAAATGAGCCTCAACATGTAAAAAACTGAGAAGCTCAGAATAATAGATTTCCCTCCAGTGCTAGTTTCTTCTGGTTATATTCTGTTAGTATAGTTTCCAGTATCAGTATTATTCTATGAGATAATTTCCCTTTTAACCATTTGTTTCACTGACCCAAACACAAATTAACCATCTAGTTTTGATGTATCACCTTTTTTTAGTACTACCAAAGTGATAATAAAATATATTTTGATTTATTGTAATTTCCATTATGTGTTAGCCACCCCAAATTATTTTATTGGCACATGAAAGGTATTAGCAGTTTCCAGCTTGTGTCATCAAAGGACTAAATAAGGTTTACCATTTCTAAGGAAAAGTCTTCTTTTGCTTTGGCTTAATCTGGACATTAAAATGATACATCTTACAGCCATCAGCCTTAAATCTTAATTTTTAATAAACTGAAGACCTCAATAAGTATATACATGTATAGATGCATAAGAAGAATGAGAAAGGAAGGGAAACATTCTTTTATCTCTACCGAAAGTATTAATGTGGTTAGTTATATGATGATTGGAAAGCTATAGTGGAAGAAACAACAAACAACCAACACACAAAAAAAAAAAAAAAAAAAAAAAAAAAAAAAAAAAAAAAAAAAAAACAAACAAACACACACACATACATAACAGAAAAGCAAAAAAAGAAACAACAAAAAAAAAACGAAAGAAATTAAAGACAAGAAAAAAAACAATGAATGATAACAATAATTTAATTTTTTGGCAATCGAACAGTGTGGGCACTGCTACCACTACTAAGTTCTACCTTTTGCCATCTTGGGGCACTTTCTACCTTTTCTTTCCTCTTGTATTTGTTCTTTTATCCTTTCCCCTCCTATACTGCTAACTTTGGCCTACTAGTGACACCTAGTGGTAGCCATGGCATGAGACAACTCCAGCTTTTTCTGTGTGATTTTGGCTGTCAGTATCCACGTGTGTAAATAATTCAGTGTTCCTCTCACCTTTGTGAACCCATCCCCTCTGCTCTGAGCATCAGGATGTTTCTAGGCATGCTTTTCAGGCACCAAGGACTTCCTCTTAGAGAAGTTAAAATACTAATCCAAAGTCTGTCTTGTGAACTAGCGAAGGCACCTGAGTGCTACTATTAGTTTCAGGGAGGTTGGAAGGGTATCCACCAATCTGAATTTCCTACTCCTTCAAATCAGAGAAGGGTGATAACATTGCCTTTGTTATGCCACTGTGCTTCAGGAGAAAGTGAGGGTGGCTTTAAATACCACCTATCTGCTTATTACTCCTAAATGAGTCTCTCCATAACATACATTTGTTATATAAGCCTACTTGACATTTCCACCTGGATATTATGGCAGAAAGAGTGGTGTCCACCAAACATCTCATCTACTACCCCATATTTTCCAGCCCCACTTACAGTTTAGCAAGGCCATGTGACCAGTTTTGGTCCGTGGGCTGTGGGTGAAAATGCAGTGTGTCACTCCTACACTGACACAGAAGAGCTGATATGAGACCTCTCCAGTTGCTTCTTTTTCAGTCACAAGAATTAACAACATTCTGAATGGTGGAGCCTCCACCAGCCTGGGTCCTTGAGTGACACTGTGGAACAGAAACCATATCCCCCAACCAATCCCCTAACTTCCAACAAGCTGTGAAAGACATAAGTGAGAAATGCATTTTTATTACGTTAAGGCAATGGAATTACAAGATTGTTTATTATTGTAACACAGCATAGTATAAAGTAATATCTCACATCTATCTCTAATTTCATTATGTTCAAAGTTGAACTATTAAATTTCTCCCATAAATCTACATTTCTTTGTTCCTTTCATCTCCAGAATTGATAATACTGTTTATCTTCAGGCTTAAAGTAGAAACCTGGATGTCATCCTTGAAAGCTCCCTTTTCCTCACCCCCCCTGTGCAGAAAGGCATTCACATAGCTGACTTGAGACTGTTATTCTTAAATAGGTCGGCATGCAAGGCTGGCCCTTGGCTGTCATCTGGGAGCTTGGCTGGTAAATAATTCTCTACACATATAAAACTTTCTCTAAATAATAAAGGTGACTCACTGTGCCTAAACTGTTTGTATAAACAATGTGGTCTGTGCTTACTATTTGCTTTCCTTCTAGGAGTCTGGAACTTGGTGCCTGTGCCAGAGTGACCAGCACCCAATAAAAACTCTGGGTTTTGAGTCTCTAATGGGCTTCCCTGGGCAGAAGCATTGCACACATGTGTTCTGCATTTTTGTTGCTGGAGGAAGAATGCACTCTGTATGAGCCCCTATGAGAGAGAGAGTGCATAAGAAAGCCTGCACATGGATCGGTCTACACACTGCCTGTGTCCTTTTTCTCTATGCTCCAGCTGCATGTATTCTTACCATGTTCTGCAATAATCTTAGCATAACTATAATGAGTCCCATGAGTCTTTCTAGTGACAAATGTGAAGGGGCCTTAGGGACTTGCTAACATCCCCACATATCTTATCTAGCACCAAGTCCAGTCAATTCTACTTCCTAACCCCAAATATATTTCACATTACACTGCTTCTTTCCTTATCTGTTATCACCACCCTGTTTTATTTGTGTTGGACTTTGAAAGGACCCAGTAATATCTTTCTTTCCTGCCCAAGTCTGGAACCAATTGATAGATACAGAAAGGGTTCAGAGTGTAAGTTTGATTTAATTGTAAACATCTCATTTGGAGTGGCTTACCTGTGCACCCAAATGGACTTGCTAACAGCCTCCTGAATTAAACTTAGGTATCCAAACTCCTACCTCCTGAATTAAATTTATGTATCCAAACTTCTGCCACTTTAGGGGACAGACTAGATTACACCCTCTCTGCAGATGAACAGATTGGTAGAAAGGATAAGAAAGGGGCTAAGCTGAACATACCAGGAAATGTGAGTGAAGGTTGAAGATTTTAATCGCTGAAACACTTCTTGTTCACTCCTGATTTTTATCTTCCTGGTGGAACTCCAAGTTCTCGGCAGTAAGCAAATGATACACAGCTGACCATAAATGAGGGGTGGAAGTGAAAGTGTGGTCAGCAAACATCACGTAGTCTGCACTGAGCCTGAAGCCAAACACTGGCCATTTGTACCAAGCCAGGCTTAGCAAATATGCACAGATTTACTTGGGGCCAGCAAAGGCCCAGCCTAGAGGGCCTTAGGTGATGTGGGCCTCAGGGTGCAGGCTGCTGCTCCTTGACCTTGAACAATGTTCTGAACATATTAATTCTGCCATGTTGAGTCTCAGCAGAGGTGGAGAGGTCACAAAGACCTTGGAGAGCAGGCATAGCTAAGGCAAGGACTAAATTATAGGAAAACTCCTAACCCTTTAACCCTTTTAAATACTGAAGCTCATTGGAAAAAATGAGAATTGAACAAATAGAATCTCAAAGGTGCTAAAGGAACAACCTATTTATTCCAGGGAGAGACAGGCTGCAGTCACAGCTGCCAAAGGCTTTAGAAACCCCTCCAGTGGAGATTGTGCAGAATCAGAAATAGGAAAGAGCTTTACTTTTTTCATACAAGTGCAGGAAATTTTGATTTTTGAACTTTGATCCTTTGAATTTTGATATCTTTGGGCTTTACCTTGCAAGAGATTAATCTCCAACCCTCAGTTTCTCCCTAGACATTGGTTTAGAACTCAGAT